CTGCTAAAAAATCAGAGATGAAGGCAGCCAGGACACTCGGGATTGTGATAGCTGTGTTTCTAATGTGCTTCTGCCCTTATTATTATCCTTCCTTTGCAGGTGTGGACACCTCTATGAGCTTACCTTATTACGCTCTATTCTCGTGGATAATACTGACAAATTCTTGTGTGAACCCTGTGATTTATGCTCTGTTCTACCCCTGGTTTAGAAGAGCTATCAGACTCATTGTCGCCCTCAGAATACTGCAGCCTCACTCCAGAGAGGTCAAGATCCTGTAGGCAGCACTAAAACAAACCAGTCATTAGTCTTTTCTTAAAAACCCCCAAAAACAACTATGCCACTGCTCCACAGAGATCCTTCACAGTGGCCTCACGATCAAACAATGTTCACCACACTTGTGTCTGTTGGGGAAATAATACACATGGAAATACTAAGCTAGAAAACATTCAAATTACTATAATCTATATAATCTAAAGTCCATCTTGATGAATTTTGTCACTACCAGAATACTCACATTTTTAAAAAGTGCATAGTTTACTGCAAAATATAACCACAAGTTGTACAAAAATATCACATACGTGAAGCCACATGGTGTGTATGCAATAATAGTAAATGCTAGATTACTGTGATGCAATATAATAAATGCATGCATGATTAAACAGGCTGATCAGCGGGCCTTTTCAGATGAACTATGTGTGTTTTACCCTCTGCAGTGGCTAATGCTGATTAATTATTGTCACTGTCATTCAGCATTTCATTGGAGCTGTTATGTACTTGTCCTTCCAGCTGTGTTTTTAAACAATAACTGATCTGCAGTGGTCTTTGTCTCTGCCACGCTTCATTTAAATAACCGTGAAAACAAACTATGTAATATACCATCCCCTCAAGTAATGGAGGGAAAAAGCGACGCCAAAGTTCGTTCGTAGAACATCACACATCCAGATTGCTACCTGCAGACTTGCAACAAAGAAAGCCACTTCCTGGTGTCTGCGTGAAGCAGGTCTGTGAAACTCAGCAGCTCGACAGTGGCTCAAAAATACAGACAAATCTAAACTGAAGTAATAGAGAATTCCCGTCTGTGTGCCTAACTAATACGAGGCACTCTATCCTCCCGTGACAGAGAAGATAAGAATTTAATACACCAATGTTTGGTGTATGAATCAGGGGAGAGAAAAAATTCAAATGTTGGATTTAATGGATAAATCCAGGCAAATACCATTTCAGCAAATATCAGCCCAGACCTGTGACTGAGTCCTTTTTTATCTGTAGGCATAAAAATGCTGAAGTGCTGCTTATTTCTACAAGAGCAAAGAAAAAATGATTTCTCTACATGACAGATAACACAGATAAATATCTAAATAATAAACAAACACCCCCAATTTGTGTTTCACTGACCCACAGTATGTGGTGTTGCATATGAATGCATTTCACGGTGTTCATATTATTCTGTTCCTATAGCCAGTGCATCATCAACTGAGATGAATGCTCCCAAATAACCTGCTGGACGCCTTTTACTTTGTGCGCACTGCAGCTGAAATGAATTAAAGTAAAATCTAAGTTT